AAGAGTCCCGTTATCCCATTCTACTCCAGCCTTTGAATGGTCTAAAATTCCTCCACTAAAATTGATTGTTAAAGTAATCATAATATTAGAGCTGCTATGTATTATTTTTTTTTCATGGAATGAAGTCAGAAAAGCTGTAAACAGGCATCTTAATTATCTTACTAAAATAACGAACTTACAGGGAATTTTTCTTTATATTTTCCTGTGGAGTTTGGATCTTTAGAATGAACACATAAAACTAGGTTGATATCATTTAAAAATAAACATGCCCTTCAAAAGAATTATTAAGACCTGGAACCTTTACAGCTGGCGATACGTGAACCTCTGTAGAGGCCGTCATTTTTCTGCCCCTGTGGCATTGACTCAGAGAAGAGAGTTGGTGCTGGGTTGTTTGTTTGTTTGCTTGTTTGTTGTTTTGCCTTCAATTCAGTTAATTAAATATCAACTGAGAGTAAGCCCCTTTGCTGGAGGCCCTGAGTGTATAAAAATGAACATAACAGACATCTGCCCTCCAAAGAGCTGGCAGTCTAGAAAGGAAGAAAAGACACGCTCACAATTGTTTGGATAGAGATTATAAGGTCTGATGCTGTGAGGACCTGAGAGGCCAGTGGTGTCATAGAAACGGGAGTGGCCAGCTCAAGAAAGCTTTTTTCAAGAGGGTTGACAGCACCTAAATGCTGCCTGAAGATGAGTGGAGGTGGCTTTTAGCAGCAAGGGGTTGGGGGGTGGGGGGAGTAAAGAAATGAAATAGTGGAAGCAAAAGCATGGCGATGGAAAGTTCTAGGCACCGAACAGTAAACTCGGGCCGCCTGTATCACCCTCAGCTCTGGTCCCTCCTGGGAACTGCCTTGAGGTCAGCTGTTCCCAGCTTCAAGAAAGTCTGCAGCATCTTATGGATTTCCCAAGAGCTGCAAATCACCAACAGTCCTCTTCTCGTGGTATTCAGGAGCCTGTTTGTAGATTGCACTCTTGACCAAGACAAATAACAGGTTGCTAAAGGTGAGAGGTAACAGTGATGGAGCCAAAGACAACAAACCGTATTGGACCTGTCTTACTCCTGAAAACCTCATAGGAAACAAATGAAATGGGAAGTAAATTTACACACACCTATACCCACACATACACCACACACATCTCTCCATATCTCACACACACACACACACACACACACACACACGATATAAAGTAAAATCCTGATACTTCAGAACAAAATCATCTATTTAAAAAAAAGATTGGGAGCGTGAATAGGAGGAGGAGTGCAGGTCAGGGAGGCCTGTCTGGGGAGGCCCCGGCTGTCCTTTGGCCTCGAGATGTCCCCATTCTGCTCTGTGTCAGGTCAGGCTCTCCCCTTTCTGCCTTTAGCGCACCTCCCCGTGCTTTGATACAAGACTCCACAGGTTTCCGGAGACAGTTGCTGAGCATGGAGC